GTTTTCTCGCTTGCTTATTATTTTGCCAGGAGGGGCGGCAATGCCGTGCAGCATGTAGATTGGGACGAGTAAACATGGCGATGGCAGACGAAGCAGATATGGAATTTGTTTCGAATATTAAAGAACTATTTATGAAACAAAATAAGAAGTTATGAATATTCTGATCTTTTAAACATAATTATAATGCATGAGTAAGTATAATACCATTTCTAACTTTCTATTTAACAACACTACACCTGTCCTATTGCCCGTGCCCATTATTTTGCAACCAACTAGAATAACCCATCATACACCCACTCTAATTGATGTGTTTTTTAATTCAATTTCTCATCATACTATTAGTGGCAATATACTTTATGATTTAACTGATCACCTCCCAAATTTTTTGATTATAAACAAATTTTCAACATTACCAAAAGGATTTAAAATATTCAAAGGAGATTTTTCTCATTTTAATGAGCAAAATTTTCTCCAAGAAATGCAATCAGTATTAAAACTGGAACTTAGAATCTCTCGATGATAATGTCAATGAAATGTTTGACACATTTAATTCTGAACTAACGAAGATTATTGATAAGCATATTCCTTTAAAGCAGCTCAGTAGAAAGGATGTTAAACACAGATCCAAACCGTGGATAACATCAACATTAAATCTAGAACAGTATATTATCACCAAAAATTTTAATTGTATAGAAACAAAATAAACTGTCTAATTAAAATTAGCAAAGAAGATTATTATAATAAATATTTTACGTCCAATAAATCAAATATGAAAAATATATGGAAAGGAATCAAAGAAAGGAAAGGAATCACATAAATTCTAAGCCAAGGGGGAGTAGCAGTTCACCATCAAAAATTCTAGAGGGTGAAAATGTTCTAACTGATAGTAAATCTATTGCTAATGCATTTAATAATTTTTTTGCCAACATAGGAAATAATTTAGCTACATCTATACCTTCCGTAGAGCAACCCCAATGGATTTTATGTCAAATCAACAATTAAATAGTATATTTCTAAACCCAATTACTTCAGAGGAAATTATATTAGAAATTAATAAACTAAATTCTTCAAAGGCTGTTGGTCCTTTTAGTATACCTGTTAATATTTTAAAACTAACGAAAGACATAATTTCTAAACCACTGGAGATTATTTTTAATAGCTCCTTGTTAAATGGTATCATCCCTGACAGCTTTAAAATTGGCATAATTATTCCTATACACAAAAAAGGGTCAACGATGAGTCTTGAGAACTATTGCCCAATTTCTTTGCTATCAGTGTTTAATAAATTACTTGAAAAGCTCATGTTCAAAAGGATCAATAAATTCATCAGCAAACACAATATATTGCATAACAAACAATTTGGTTTTAGATCAAAACATTCTGCTTTGCATGCAATTTTGTCAATAACTGATAAAATACAAACAGCTGTTGAGGATGGTTATTATTTTTGTGGAATCTTTCTAGATTTATCCAAAGCTTTTGATACGGTCAATCACAGCATCCTTCTGCAGAAACTTGAATATTATGGATTCAGGGGTGTTGCACACAATTGGTTAAAATCGTACCTAGATAATAAGAAACAATTTGTAACAGTGGGAAGTATTTCATCTGGGCTATTAAATATTTCTCAGGCCTAAAATATCGGTCTGTAGTGCTGTCCGCCAAAATGTCCGGTACTTTTCATAATGGGTCGGACATTTTTAATATTATGTCCGATGGCCTTATGTTTAGTTTGGCGCGAAAATGTATTCGTTTAAGATCCGTAACAACACTAAATTTTGGGCAGTTATGCATTGATACTTTTGTATTTTCAATCCAAAATGGACTTTGTTTGCCAAAACAGAAGACAATAACAATTCGAGAAATTCTAAAAACTAAAAGTTGGCGCGTAAGAAACAAATCGTATGCCGCTTAGAAGTGCTGCAAGGATTCATTGCCCACTTAATCTAAATTCATCGTTAAAATTTGGAATACGAAATGAAGAATGCATCATGTCAGTCCATAATCTATAAATTATATATGTTAATCAATAATGTGAAGACTTTTTACAAATGTAATACGGCCCAGCAAGCCTTTTTTGTTTTTCTCAAACACAAAGTTATTGTTCACTATAGTTCATCTTCTTAGAGAGTACATTGTAGTTCAGTTTAATTATAGTTCCTTTGATCACTATAATTCATCTTCTTAGAGAGTTCATTGTAGTTCAGTTTAATTATAGTTTCTATGGTTCCTCCTCAGAATCAGAGAATAAACTCTGACTTTCGGTTTCTTCTGTACTTTCTTCCTGCACGTCTTCGTTTTCTTTATCACTTTCATGGTTTTCTTTTTCTGCAGTCTCGCTGTCGCTTTCGTCCGACGACATAGTCGAAAGCCTTTTGTGTGATTTGCATGCTGTATATGTTCGCTTTTATTTCTCATCGTGTGGCCGCCGTTGTTTCGCTGAATGCCATAATTCAATGGCGGGCAGTGGGTCATACTCCTCCCATGTCGGGCCTTATTCCATGATGCGTAGAATGTTTTCCAACCTCCGAAGGGAAAGGGAACAACGGAAATTTGTTTTCATGCGCTTTAATTTGGAGAACATTCTCTCGAGCTTGGTGTTAGATACAGGGATAGTAAACAACAGTTCGACTAAGATAAGCGCATCTTTCCATCCTTTACTCCTTGGTGCAGAAAATATCTTACGCCATGTGATAAGATATGATTGGCCGGTCACCCCGATTGTTTCAACAGCAAAGTCGACAATCTCATGCCATTGGTTAAGTAGGTCGGGAACAGTCACTGACATACCGCCAGACTTAAGTGGAACTTCAAACTTGTCATACACTGCAAAAATGGCGTCTTCGGCAAATTCGTTGTCGTCTTTCCATCCCTCGCAATCAAGAATTTGTACAACGGCGTCGAGTATCTCTTCGCCTTCATCCTCTTGTTCAAGTCGATTAGTCAAGCATTGTCGAATCTTCTCCAAGTACTCGTTCTTTTTGCTTTCAACAGAAACCTTATGTCTCTCGAATGATGAGAGTTTGACGTTTTGATAGAAAAACTGAGCATCCACTTCCTTGATTTTTGAGAGAAAGTTTCTAACATTCGGTAGCCTTTCGAACACCTTTTTCTCAAATTGTGCCAAACGTTCCCTCACTTTGTTCAATGCTCTCGCGGTCTGCACTGGATCTATTTTCTCCTGCTGAAATGTCAATGATAGAATCGACGGTATAGTTAATATATCAATAAACAAGGCAAGTAATAGTGGCATGCTGGAGCTCTTCCAATGTTTAAGGTAACCTTTCAGCTTGGCTTTGTCTTTGCTTGTAATGGTTTCATCTTCTGTCATGGTTTCCAGATGCTGAATGTAAAGACCCCATTTGTCTAAACACATCTTCATTGCAGCCAACTTGTGAGAAATCCATCTCGACCCCGATGATTTCTTCGGCTTTATTCCTCCTTCGTCAAACTCCATGGTTTCTTTGTAAAGATCGTGTAGTTCCTTAAGTTGACGCACTTTCTTTGGTGCTTTCTTATGAAGGAGATACATCTTCAACAGCATATTATCAACATCCTGAAACTCTGTGGTCTTTAATGCGTCACTGAGTGCCAACTCGAGACGATGAGCGATGCACCATATGAACACCATCCATGGGGATTTCTCTTGAAGTCGGGTCACAATGCTGTTGTTACATCCACGGTTAACGCTAGCCCCATCCGATGTGAAACCAACCAACTTTTTGTGATATGGTAAAATACCAACCGAGGTTAATGAAGATGAAATAGACTGTTCAACGTCGTTAAAACTTTCTTCGATAGCGTTGGTTATTCCGCCTGCATTTCCATATTTTACCTGGAACAAAAATTTGTTATTAAAACTTAACAAATAACGTTTGTTTCATTAGAGAAAATTGAAAATTATACCCATGGACAAATGTATCATTTGACAATGTACAAACAAATTACCTGTTTCACACTTAAGAATGAAAGCTTTACTTCCACGGAATCAGATCCAACAGGTTGTGGATCAAAATGAAGACAGTAGATTACCTAGAAATAAGGTGCAGAATCCAAAGTATATATACTCATTGAAAATTAAGGAGTCGATTTAATACATGGGGAGTTTTCAGCGCAGGCTGAGTTTTTGCCCAGTTAACCGAGCTGAAATTTCAACCCGGCCTAAGGCTAAGGATAAAATCCTATAAAAATACAGTGTGCGATTACATGACAATTATTCATCTACAATTCAGTAATTTTAGCCCGGGTTGAAAAAAACAAACAATCGTTTAGATGGCTTTGTTTTGCATGTTTGTTTCAACATTACTTTATAATAACTACAGTCTACAGTCTCACACAATTTAGTTACAATTGCATTTCGTCTGAAATAGGAAATGCGATGCAAATTCGTCGCCGAGTTATATGTTGCAAGATAAGTTGAATATGCGTCGCATAAAAATGTGCAACATAACGCGACTTCGAGTTATTTTATATAAATAACTCGAAGACGCGTTTTCTTCGCATTATCCGTCTGAGTTGGACGAAGTATAACGCGATAATACTGCTATATTTTGATTACTGTAGCTTTTTTGGACTAACTGCAGCGAATATCTGCGCGACAAAATGCAGAAAATGCAAAACAGGGTTGCAAGGGTCATCACTGGCAGACCATATGAAATAGCAACAAAAGAAATATTTAAGGAATTAAATTGGCAACCTTTAGCCGATCGATGGGAGAAAAATAAGTTAGTGGTTCTGTATAAAGTGAAAAATAGTGAGCTACCAGAAAGTATGAACCAATTTAGTGTTCGAAATCGCTAATAATCAAAACTACAATTTACGCGGCAAGAGTAATATTTTCTTTTACAAAAACCAAAAACAAATTACATGAAAAAAAGTCTCAGTTATAATGGAGCAATAGCGTGGAACAATTTGTCAAATAATGTAAAAGCAACAAATATGTCAATTGGCCAATTTATGCCTATGCTTATTTCTGAAAGTTGCAAGATTGGGGCGTATCCTATTAGAGCATTTTTTTATCGCGTGTCATGCTGGTGCAAACGACTGTATCTGCAGACGATTTTTTCTTGTTTGTTTACATTTTAAAAGTCCAGGTTCCACCAGAAATTGTTCTTGTTTCAAGGCAAACTATTCAAAGTTTGCTATAATGAACACGGTCATTGGTTTACGAACAATTGTCAATTTCCAGTGAAACCGGGACCGTTTAACTCATTAAGTTGCAGACTGTTGCAACATTGGCACTCCCCAAGTTGCAAGGAAAATGGCGAATTTTAGTTACTGTCAACTTCTGTCAACTGCTTTTACAAAAATACCCATATCTCAAGATCAATGTTATAAAAAACCTTGAAATTTTGCAGTGGGTTAAAATGATAAATGATTAATCAATTCTATTTTAAATGAGCTCCCACACTTAAATATATCATTAGATTTTTGGGTGAGAATTCTTGGTTTGTGTAAATTTAAGTCCCTGACATTTTGTTTCTTCATGACACCCAACATCTGAAGGGCAATAATTCAATAACTCAACATAAATGGAGAAATATTTTTTGATTCCTGGATTGGTACACATTTATTTTCAAATTAGTTTTCATCTTGTAGGGTATAAATTACAAAATAATGAAACGCTATAAAAATTTGCTTGGGCATAGCTCAGGCACACTCAGGACATCTAGTTTACAATGGAGAACTTGAACTTCAGAACTTGTTGTTCAAGTCCAAAAACTCTGTAACCCAAAAACACAGTGTTTGTACCTCTTTGAAGTTTTTAAATAGCTCAAATATGTTTGGAAAAACACGAAGTACAAAAATTACTAATTAAAATATAAACAAAGGATGAAAAAGGTGAGAAAATTTTAAAATATTTGAGGTGTTTTCAATTCTGACTTTGACAGCCGGCATTTTCAAACGCAGCGTGCGGTGACAAAACAAAAGGCTTTTTATTTTGCTATTAAGAGCACTGAAAGTCGTCAAAAAGAGATAAACACTTTTGAATATTCATCAGGTAAGAATTTTAACTGAAATTCCTTTTGTTTCTGTTGAGAAAACAACGGATTTGTGGCTAAAACGTTGTGCGCGGCAATGTAGGTTGCTGTAAAATGTCAGACAGGCGGTTTCTTCTGAAATCTGACTCTAGTTTGAAATCTGACTCTAGCTTGAAATAAGTCCTTTTCAAGGACCAATTGTATAAAAATATAATATGTATGCTGAAATAAAATGAATAATCTAATATTTAGGCATTTTAGATTGCTATAAAAGAGTGAAATAAAGTATTTCATCTTTGGTTGTTTGTCAGACGAGAGTAAACACGTTGGTGACACTTTGTTGCTCATGCAGTTTTCAAAAGATAAACTGCTAAAAATATAGCTTTTATTTCACCAAATAGCAAAGTATCTGGCAGATATTATTAAAAGAGCTCAAGCGAAGTAATTCCATGATAAATAAGTGAACAATGAGACCAAAAAAGCGACTAAATTACAATTTTGGAAAGTACATAAATTTAATAGCTTCCCGCAAAAGAAGCCATTTCAGAGGAGAACAGCATTTTGTAAACTACTCTCCTGACCTATTTTAAACTTTTCCTTCAGGTAATCGATGAGTACTTCTTAGAAAATGAGCGTACATTAGTTTTATGATGTGCTTTATTGATTTAAAAATTTTATGGGGATATATGAAGCAATAAAGTGTATTTTAGAAGCTTTTCAAATCCCTGTCATGAAGGTTCAGAATTCGCACGCGCCAAGTAACGGCATAATTCAATACATTGATTTTAAACCACATTATCTCTAAAATGAGAGCTCGTTTCGAGACAAAGTTTATAGAAACAGATATAGTATTCATTGTAGAGTATTCTACTTAGTTTTAATGCGGTTTTACTCAAAATTTTTCTTGCCAAAAATGTATATACGCACATGACAAGTTGAACCTACTGTCTTCTGAAAGTACTTCGGCTAAAATAACAACTTGAGCAAGACGACCAACAGTAGGGTCACGAAAACAGTCGAAATCATGCCATAAAATGCACGAAATTTCTTCTAAAAACTTAGTTTTAAACTAGATTGAACTTGCTTTAATGCTATGGGCCATTCCATTTAATTTACACACCCCCCTGTGGACGAAAATTTCCGAGGGGGGTTGAAAAAGCCGTTTCTGAGGGGTTTTGTGCATCGGCATCCTTTGATCTTTGCGTTTTTTCCGAGGGGTAAGGCAAAAATTTCTTAATTTCTGAAGGGGTGTTTGTGTCGGCACTTCGATCTTTTTTCTTAGGGGTTCAAATTTTATTGACTTCGTCCACAGGGAGGTGTGTACATTAAATGGAATGGCCCTATATCGTATTTCATGAAAACATGCCAGGTATTTTCATTCAAAAACACGCTCAAAAAAATCGTAACTACTCACTTGGATTTAGTGTTCATGTTTCTTGCGATTTCCCACTTCACTTTTCCGTTAGATTGAAAGAAATTGCTGTTTTTCTGGCTGAAAATTGCGCGACTTGATTTGGACAAGAACTTGACTTGAAACATATGCACACTCCCTTATGTTTTATAATATATTTTATATGTAAAACACTTTAAAAACCTCTTCTTTTTCATCCTTAAAACTTGCTGAAAAGTCCTATCTTGTGACAATTTGCGGTTGTCACAGGTTTTGTAAAAAAATAGAGTTTTAAAATCGAAAATCTTCGCAAACTTTTGATCAATTTTCTCGCATGATGTATCGTTTGAAAGCCCGAATTTTGCACTTTATACTCGTGACCGTTGCTAGGCAACCCGATAAACACGCGCTAGACAATTGTGCCCGGAAGTTGACGTGTCATCCAGGGCGCATGAGGGCGCAATGAGACTTACCCTGTTCCCAATTCCAGGGCGCATGGGGGCGCAATGAGACTTAATGAGTTAAACACAACTTTAATTAGTTTCTCAAGTGCGATTGGTGTGACGTTTTGTGAATGAAAATATCGACAAAATCCTCGTTTTTACACCTGAATTCTTCGACACCATTTTAATTTGATAGCACATGTTCGTCGCAGAAACGTCCAGTCAAGTCAAATGCCCAGCCAGTAAACAATTCCCTGCCCCTGGGACAACTTTGGAAGTACCAATGGCCACCCCCCCCCGGGCAAAAAAAGAGTACAAATGCCCGGGGGGGGGATGAGCAACGCTAGAATTGACTGATGCATAAATTACGACAGTTTCCAACAGTAGAAATTTTTCTTAAAATATTTTAAAATTTCCCCCCAACCTTTTTAACTCTCAAATAGTTCATTACACATTTATTGGTTAGGGTTAGAGAAGGGGTTGGGCTCTGTTTATCCATACCTTATCTTAAATATTCCGACTACAGTACAAATTTCAATATAGCAAATCAAACTCGGCGTACTATTCCAGTACTTCGTATTAATAATATACAACTAAATGAACTAATTATTAAAAGGTAAACTGACCTTTAAACTGAAAAACTTCATTGGCTTGTACACATTGGTTTCTTTGCCACATAGTTCATTTGCTGTTGCTTGTAAATGTTTTATAAACCAGTACAGCAAACCTAAGTAGCGAAATTTCGGGCCGTCTTTCACAACAAATAACATCACAATAACTGCACATCCTTTTCTCTTTCATACAGAATCGTTTTCCCTGTCCATTGAGTTATAATTTCCAAGACTAACGAGTCGCTAAAACGTAAAATAAGCGGGTATTTGTGAACAAAAATGCCCTTTGATATAACACGAGGTAACCAGCGCCATCTTGTCTTCTCCAAACATTACCGATTTTCCCGCCAAAACCCGCCCCCAAAGTCCCGTATGTGACTGACGTCACAAGTGTCATGGACGGGGGGGACTACCATATTTGGCGTAAAATATTTCAAAAATACACACTAAATCTAATTTTAATCTCTTTACCTTCGCTATTTTTGCTTTCCACGTATTGTTTGACCCAACCACGATTGTAACACAACAATGTTTGCTCGCTAAACATTTTAAAATCAACAAAAATACAGTATTAATGAAGTACCATTTAATTTCATAGTTGATAGACCATGCTCTTCGGGTGAACATTGGGAAAATCCGAAGCTGTTTGAGCCACTGAACCTTACTTCTGGTTATAAGCCCATGTTACGAGTCACAAAATATATTATAATAATTAATTTAACTATGCAAGCATAAATTAACTATACCCAAATATAGTATCATATAGATCTGTTTCTATGGTTCTATGCTTGTATGATTCTATGATTCCTCTCTCCTCCGCAGAGGCTTTAATTGGCTATGAAGGCGCGAAGCCTCTGCGTGTGGCGATGCCACACCCAATATGGCGGTAAACGGGGGGGGGGTAACCTAACTTGTTTTGGCTCGAACAACATGGCCGCTGAAATTTTCAAAAAAATTATGCCAACAAAACTAGCTTCTTTTCGGCACGTACATAGAATACGCTTACTAAAATACTTAAAAAACGGAGCTAAAACCACCTGCATTGCATCGAGGGAATTAAATTCACCAAGCGGCGTTTCAAAATTGGAAAATTTGGCATCGGAAGCAGAAAAAGTTGTTGGTTATCAAACCAGTCTAGTTCGATGCCTTTTAAGTAGCCTGATAACAGACCTACGTTTCACCCGCCCTAAAATAAATATCATATTGTTTATTACAACGGAAAGATACAACGCTGAAGAATTTGACACATACCGCTCTATTCCCCTCTAGTTTTAAGGTCCCAGAGCCTTCAGTAAAAAATAAATTGAAACGTGGCGAAAGCTCTGTTAACGGGAGTGTTCTTTAATTAAACCGCGCCAATTACAAAACAGAATTAGTGGTTTTAGTGATAACAATCCTGCACCTCCACACCCTGCTGCATCTCCCTCAAAATGGGGTTCGATCGGCCCCTATGCGACTACTTTCAGTTTATAGAAAACTGTATGGATTATCTTCAACAATTATAGATGTTTACAAAAAGATATTTCAATCAACGTGGGGTTATGGTTTATTGGGAGTAAGTATATTAGAATCATATTTAAATTTAAGTTGTTTATTAAAGGGTATGGGCAATGAAAATTGCTTCATCTATCTTATTGCTTCGTCTGAAAGAGCATGAAAAAATAAGCCGATTGGCCGTTTAATGCTCTATTCTATCTCATCTAGTTCGGAAGTTATACGCAAAAATGTGCAAAATATAAATTGCTGATTCAGCACAATGTGTGACGTCATTAGCTGGGTAAGTATGTTTATTGAATACTACACTGAAGCATAGCTCAGTTATTATGGGCCCAAATCAAATGAAATTTTGGATACTGATTGTACATGAGATGCATAGAAAAACACTTCTAATTTTGTTGCCAAGGTAACAATGTCGTTCCCAGGCCCCGTGCGCCAATTTTATAAAACAGCTTTATTCAAGGTACTGATAAAAATAAAATAATATCAGAAGTATGTGTACGATACCTATGCATGCCGAAAGTTTACTTGCATGATAATAATTCGAAAATGACATACACATAGAGAAATGCAACTAGTTATTCAAAATCAGTGTAAGGGGCCTGGGAACGACTGTGTTGCCTTGACAACAAAATTAGAAGTATTTTCCCATGCGTCTCATCATGTACTATCTGTATGCAAAATTTCATTTGATTTGAGCCAATAATAACTCAGCTATGCTTTAGTTTACTACTTTACTATTCAATAAACATACTTACCCAGCTTATGACGTCACACATTGTGCTGAATCAGCTATTTATATTTTGCACATTTTTGCGTATAACTTCGGAACCAGATGAGATAGAATAGAGCAGTAAACGGCCAATCGGCTTATTTTTTCATGCTCTTTCAGATGAAGCAATAAGATAGATGAAGCAATTTTCATTGCCCATACCCTTTAATTCGAACCCTGTTTCCATATAAACAGCCCCGTAGACCAGTGTGCATTCCATACACTCCACACCAGATCTAGTATATCCAGCATGAGGTTACAATATTGTTGGCGTAATGGCGCGAGTCACTCAAAAACAAGTGATTAGTTTGTGCCTGATTTCATGAATCACCACATTAGATGTTTTCAAAACATGGATTTAAGCCCCCAAAACTGAAAATCTCCGATGTATTGGCGTAAAGGATCGTATATGTTGGCGTATCTCCGGCGTAGAGTTTACATGGAATGCACCCTGGCCGGAACAGTGTTGGGGATTGCCTCCAAGTATCGCCCAAAATAAATCACAACAAATCACAGTATAATATCTATTACAAAATCACCAATTTCACAGTTTTACAGCCACATGTTTTTAAGTTCTCTTCTCGAAAAAACAACCACCGGTATAATCCGGAACTTTCCGAAGTGTTTAAAGTTTGGACTCGCGCGTCCCACACGTGAACAAAAATACTAATTCTAATGCATCAGTCAATTCTAGCATTGCCCATCCCCCCCCCCCGGGCATTTGCACTTTTTTCTCTTTAAGTTGACAATTCCCGGGGGTCGGGCAGATAAAGTGTGGCAATGCCCCACCCCTGGGCAAAAAAAAGATGACAAATGCCCGGCCCCAGGGCACACCGACTCATTTAGAGAATGTATTTTAAACCTCAAAACTTCCATAACATTATTAGCTTCCTTGTATAAAAGCTACAGCAGTCATCCTAACTTTTGAACATGAAAAACATGCTCGTCGGTTCAGTGGTTAATATACAATCACGTAGCAAGATATAAAACAAGGATTGTACTATGAATTCTAGTGTTTTTATGCTAGATAGTTAAACACAACTTTAATTAGTTTCTCAAGTGCGATTGGTGTGACGTTTTGTGAATGAAAATATCGACAAAATCCTCGTTTTTACACCCGAATTCTTCGACACCATTTTAATTTGATAGCACGTGTTCGTCACAGAAACGTCCGGTCGAGTCAAATGCCCAGCCAGTAAACAATTCCCTGCCCCTGGGACAACTTTGCAAGTACCAATGCCCGCCCCCCCCGGGCAAAAAAAGAGTACAAATGCCCGGGGGGGGGGGATGAGCAACGCTAGAATTGACTGATGCATAAATTACGACAGTTTCCAACAGTAGAAAATATTTTAAAATTTCCCCCCAACCTTTTGAACTCTCAAATAGTTCATTACACATTTATTGGTTAGGGTTAGAGAAGGGGTTGGGCTCTGTTTATCCATACCTTATCTTAAATATTCCGACTACAGTACAAATTTCAATATAGCAAATCAAACTCGGCGTACTATTCCAGTACTTCGTATTAATATACAACTAAATGAACTAATTATTAAAAGGTAAACTGACCTTTAAACTGAAAAACTTCATTGGCTTGTACACATTGGTTTCTTTGCCACATAGTTCATTTGCTGTTGCTTGTAAATGTTTTATAAACCAGTACAGCGAAGTAGCGAAATTTCGGGCCGTCTTTCACAACAAATAACATCACAATAACTGCACATACTTTTCTCTTTCATACAGAATCGTTTTCCCTGTCCATTAAGTTATAATTTCCAAGACTAACGAGTCGCTAAAACGTAAAATAAGCGGGTAACACGAGGTAACCAGCGCCATCTTGTCTTCTCCAAACATTACAGATTTTCCCGCCAAAACCCGCCCCCAAAGTCCCGTATGTAACTGACGTCACAAGTGTCATGGACGGGGGCGACTACCATATTTGGCGTAAAATATTTCAAAAATACACACTAAATCTAATTTTAATCTCTTTACCTTCGCTATTTTTGCTTTCCACGTATTGTTTGACCCAACCACGATTGTAACACAACAATGTTTGCTCGCTAAACATTTTAAAATCAACAAAAATACAGTATTAATGAAGTACCATTTAATTTCATACTTGGACTTTTACTATATAAAACTGTGAAAATGCTTTGCATTTTGAAAGTGTTTAAAATTTGATATTTTTCTTTTTATATTGAAAAATGCACGTAACAGTCGTTTACGTATTTTTGTCATATCTGATGTTCAGTATGTGATTAAATGTGTGTATAATATTTGAATTGTGTTCAATTTACTTAATACTTTCTTTCAGTAAATTCGGAATTTGACAATAGCAATTAAGGTGGAGTAATATACTAATATGGGCAACAAAATTGCTGCAACTTGCAACAAAATCTGATTTCTGCGCATGTTAATTGAAATGTTTTGTCAACATTTCTACTTAAAATGCGTTGAAATCAGATTTTGTTGCAGAAATTTTGGCTGCAGCAATTTTGTTGCGCGTATTACTCCAACCTCGGTATTCAGTCCAGCTTTAACAACAATTAATGCAGGCTACCCACATGTACGCAGCGCGTACCTATTTTTGATTAGATACTACTGATAATTGTATTAAAAGTTGACCAAAAAATTTAAAACTGACCAAAACATCATTTGAAGTGTCTTGATGTGGGTATATACTTTGTGTGACCCGTATTATTATATATCAGGGCTGATACCTGACCCTCACCTTAAGGCGTTAACCCAAACTTTAAGCTGTTCATTCAGATAGCCATAACACATCAGGTTTTACTCTAAACCATGACAAACAAAATATCATATGAAAGCTAATGAAACATAGATTCTGAAAATATAATTTATATTATCAATAATTACATTGTAACCCGACACCGGCTACCACATGCTGTGAGTTCCCCATCTTCCTTTGAGAAAAGATTTAAGACTGGGTATTGCATTAAATTGCTTATTTTTTGTGCCAAATGAAAGATTACAAGTGGTTTTCTTGGATAAGCATAGAACTTTTTTATATTATAAAAGGAATTGACACAGTGGTTGGTCAAAGTTTGTGAACAAGAAAGTGGTCACGTTTTGATTCATAACATCCTTAAAATTAGACATTTCAAAAATCTCTATGCTTATCCAAGAAAGCTCTCTTAGAGCAACAATTCCTGAAAATTTCATAACAATCGAGCAAATACTAGTCGAGTTATCTTTTCTCAACTGCGAAAAACAGGTATTTGGAGAAAATCAGCTTTAAAAGTTGCCATGTCTTAAAAAGTGCAATAGTAAATATTTGGACTGTGCAAGTCATTATTTCATGCATTAAATGAAACAGGGGGTTGTTTAAAACCTTGCTGCTTCAAAACTGACTCCCTCAGCTTCATGAAGAGCCTCTTCCCTTTGTATCGGCAGGAAGGCGTGTCATTCGCGACGTTTCGTTTGCTTCTGGTTGGTATGAAAATCAGATTTTCTTAACCTCTTCTTGTCACGTACAAAGGAATTATGCCTTGTATGGTGACCAGCAGGTATGGAAAGTCCCTCCATAATCATTTCTCTGCTTGCAGCACCACTACGGAAATGGCAAAAAGCTGAAGCAACAGTACAGTGAACAGTGTGGACGCTGTGATGTTTATGCTTTGGACATCAAGCCGATACGGGTTGATACCAGGGGTTCAGGCATTCATTTGGGTTTTGAAGTTGTGCCATGTACCCATCTCTCATGCAACTTTGTATCACTCACTCAGTTATACAAAAGTTGGCTTCAGCTCTTCTTGTTTACCTAAAAGTTCAAGGCAAAATCTTATTAGTTGAGGTGTAGGTTCGACATAGAGATGACTCATAGCAGCCCAAGGCATATATCAAAGGTGCACATAATTTATATAATAAATAAACAAAGCAAAAATAGCTGATAAAACTTACAACATGTAAGAATTTCATTTTATCACTTATACAATGCCAAGATAACAAACAAATATAATACTTGGGTGATAGGGCCAACTGGCAAAGCCAATTTAAAAACAAATCATCACTAAATACCTTCATCGCAAACATGAATTTCAGAGAACACAGAGGCTGAATGTTTTATATTTCTAAACCTATATCCATCTTCATCATTGCCAGGCAGACCTGGAAAAACATCAACCAACTCTGTAGCTCTAGCACCGTTTTGTAATTTCATCGTCTTCCCCAAAGAGCTATTCACATTTATACACACGCAGGTTCATCATCACGATGTCTTAGCCGTCTCCTCGATGCTTTGCTCTCCTCTTTCGCTTTATTATTGCCCTTTGTATCCCAGAGAAACCTTTTCCTTTCCTAGTCATCTTTATATAGTGTTTTTTCCTTTCTACCCAACCATATTCAACTAAAATATGGCTTGTTCCTCAACACAAGCACAGACTACTACACAAACCAGACACAGTACTAAAATGCGGTGCCCTGCAAAAAACATTTCTGGCGTTTCGCCTACAAGTAAACTTATATAAAATAATACGCTAGATGGGGCCCCTAGATTTCTCCTGTTGGCTAATACATGAAGTTTCTAGCCTTACTTTTTTGCTGTTTTTTGTCCATTTATGAAAAATGGCAAAAGTCGCTAAAAATGGACGAAAAGTAAAGGCTATATAGCCTTACTTTTTTGCTGTTTTTTTCCCAACTTATGAAAAATGGCAAAATTCGCTAAAAATGGACGAAAAGTAAAGGGTATAGCCTTACTTTTTTTTTGCCCACTTATGAAAAATGAAAAAAGTCGCCAAAAATGGACGAAAAGTTAAGGCTATAGCCTTACTTTTTTGCTGTTTTTTGCCTCTTTTTCAAAAATTGAAATATCGGCTAAAAATGGAAGAGAAGTAAAGGCTATAGCCTTACTTTTTTGCTGTTTTTGCCTCTTTTCAAAAATTGAAAAATCGGCCAAAAATGGACGAAAAGTGAAGGGTCGAAAGTGGACGAAAAGTATAATCATAAAATGGACGAAAAGTATAGTCATATCTTTACTGTTAATTATATACACTAATATTTCCTCTCTCTTATATAAATATCTTGTTATGGTATATACTGTATAGTTATAATTAGAGTAGTTACTTTAGCAATACCTTGTAAATTATGGTCATGCTAATAAAGTGTTTTTATTTTTTTTTATAATAATAATAGCCTTACTTTTTTCCTATTTTTTGTCCCTTTTTCAAAAGTGGAAGAACTGGCCAAAAACGGACGAAAGGTTAAAGCTATAAGCTTACTTTTTGGGCGTTTTTGGTCGCTTTGTCGAAAGTGGAAAAAGTGGACAAAAACAGGCAAAAAGTTAAGGCTACGGCCTTATTTTTTGCCGTTTATGGCCGCTTTTTCGAAAATAGAAAAAATGGCCAAAACTGACGAAAAGTAAAGACTATATAGCCGGGTAAGGCCGGCCGAAAGATCACGAAAAAGTTTAATCCCTGCAATATAACTATTATACTTATTTGACCGCTAGAAATGTTTTTTGAAATTGCTAGAAAATGGAAATTGCTAAAAATGGCAGGATAAAATTTGGTTTGCACTTTTATATATTTTATTTTTGAAAGTGCATTGTAATTGTTTCAAACACTCATTAATAAGGGGCGGTCCATTAGAAAAGTGATGGGGGGAGGGTACTTTTTTAACTTGTACGAATATTTTTTAATTTTTTTTGCTTGTGTGTCGATACTTTTTAAAATATAATCCCTTGCATGAATTTTTTATTTCAGCTCATAATTTTCCCTATTGAGAAGTCTCTGCACGAATTTTTCTTACTTTCTTTCTGTTTCCCTGCACATTTTTTCTCCTTCAATCACTTTTGTAACAGACCGCCCCTAATTCATAAGCTTATTGGCAAATCATGTCAACGATAATATAATGTCACGTGCAGTGGCTTTATACCTGATAAAACACTCCTAATTAGTATTCTTTATATAAAGAATACTAATATGTATCTTTATATAAAGAATATTAATGAGCAGTATTTATTGTAGTCGTGTCCTCATTAGTATTTCTTATCTAAAGAATACTAATAAGGCAGTATATCTATCGAATTTGTAGTCGTCTTGAAAGCCGTTCAATAGCACTTGCATTCCTGCTCCTTATTAAACAGTACTCAACATTCTTGAAATTTAATTTTTTTATATACTGTATATCGGCATTTTTTATGCATTTTCTCGCACTGTCGGTTGTCCAGTGTTTTACCACGCTTGATTAAACACAAAATTCAACGAAACAGATTCTGATTTTGAACAATTTCAAGCAGAAGAATACTCGTTCAACTTTGTTGCATCTTAGCGACGCAAATGATGTATTTCATAAACGATTATTTTCTTGTAATAATTAAATATCTCTCTGTTTCTCCTGACCTTATTGAATACAACAATCTCCTTGTTTCTTGGGAATTTTTGTGTTTCGTACAACATGTTCAGCGTGCTGTGCTGCCTTCTCGGCCCTTAACAAAACAGAAAGTAAAAGTCAAGTTCATCTACTATTTAAGGTATTTCCGCAGTAATTGTTCCCGAAATGAGAATGTGCTGAAACTTCCCAGGCATGGAGTTTATGATATACTTAAAAAGTAAAATCACACAAAAAAGTCGGGGTCACCGAACTCGTTAAGAAGATATGACAATCGCAATATATACCACCTTTACTCCAATATGGCGCCATCTTGACGCTCATTACGAGTAACAGCAAAATCAAAACAGCCCGATATTTATTGACGTTTTTAGCGCGGATTTTGCTTTAGTAAACCTATCTTGTAATTATTTTTGAAAAATATTGTGTTTTGAGCAAAATGAAACTACTAACGTGTACAATTCTGATCCATAAATGTCTTTTGCACATTTCTTTACATATCTTTCTTTGAGAACATGCATTGATAAAGCATTTTTTTTCAAGATCCAGAAATGATTTTTCTTTTAATTTCGGATATGAAATGTAAAATGCATTAAAGAAATAAATTAGCGTCCTGGCATTTAAAGTATGGAATGAAATATAATTCATGTAAAAAATTGTTGATTTTAACGGACACGACTTCGAAAATTTTTTCAAAACAAAAATTCAAACTAAAAAGTTAAGAAAACTCTCGAAAAGTTAAGCTTCTTAACCCACTCAAATTGTAGAATAAATCCTATAGTTTAATTATTGTGAACACGAAAATTTTTTATATTTGGCGACATAGTTTTTTTTAAAGAAATGTCCAACAATCACCTTTAGTTCATGTTCTTGTACAATACAATTTCTTGAACCTTCTGGCTGTATTTATTTCTAGTTTTTAGAATGACATGTTTATTTTCGCACTCGAAATCTGGCTGTAAAGACGCACAATGAAGTCACTCCTTTTTACCGCCATTTTGAGCCTTCGGAAACGTTCGGAACAGCTTCTCATCAAGTTCGCAATACTATTACAGGTAAGGTTGACGCGTGCGCAGACGTTTTTCCGCGGTGTTCGCGTATAATGGATGAAATTATAAGTTATAAGATGTGCGCAGTAAAAGTGCGCAATGCAAAACTGCGGAATTGCCTTAAAACACGAGCAGCAACACTTTATCGTATATAAACACGAGGCGAGTGTCTTATACGTGATAAAGCATGGACTGTGTCTGTGA